TCGCCCGTCTGCCCAAAATGAGGGCTCCTCTGGCCACCCGGTTGGGAATGATATTAATTTATTTATTGCACAAACGTAGAGCGAGCAGCACTTTTATGTAGTAAACCAGCACAAAAAAGAACGACACTCAGCGACGGCGTTGCCACATTTGGAAGAACTGTCAAGCGAACGCTGCTGGCATTCTAGTTCGATTTTCGATCCGGTAGCAGGTTCTGAGCCTGGTGAACCAGTCACTTTATTTTTTCTTCTTAAAAATAAAGATGGCGTCTTAATGGCTTCTCAAGTCTGATATAAATTAGATAAATTCAATATCTAACTAGTCCATAATAAAATAAAATTATTTTATCTATAAGCTTTCCAGGCTTAGAAAAGAGTTCTGATCTGGCGAACCAGGCACGAATCAATAGGTTCCTAAAATATTCATAAAACTAAATATTGTATATTGTTATTTAAAAATAATTGAAAACAGCAATACATACTTTAGTTTGTGCTGGAAACTGGGCTTTTAAGATATTATCATACTCTTGTTTATTTTATAATTTAATGTAATAACTTAAATTTTTTAATGTAATATTTCAATACTACAACTGAAATACTATTCATGTATGGCAGACGTATGTATCTATGTATATATTTTGCGATCTAGAAAAAATACTTTAAAAATGTTGCCATCTGTTAGCCCGGTAGAAATACATTTACATATATCGATAATCCTTCGTAAACTATATTTAGTGCGTAACCAGATTCTTTCATAGTTACCACTACCTATTGTAGACGTTATATGTCAAAGCCATAAAGGCCTTTGAACTATTTCTTCAGTTTTGGGAGCCAATTTATATACCTATTTGTGCAAAATTGGAACGCTAGTTCCATATTGCCTCAGTATGCTAATACGTTTACCGAAATGGCGTTAAAAGTCCCCTAGTAGTGCCCCATAAAATTGCCTTCTAATTGCACAGAACAAAGAAATTGGTAAATATTTATTTCGCACGTTAATAGTTCCAGTTCCGAGTTAACCAGTTCCGGAGCAGCCTTATTGTGGGGCAAAGTGGCAGCGCCGCAGTCTGCACGTTTTTAAAAGCCGGCCAAATTCAGTCCTAAGCGAATTCAAAACAAAGCAGAAGGAAAAACCAACGAAAAACCAGGATGTTTATGAACTCGAATCTTTTCGAGCCGGGCAAATCGAAGCCGGAGCGGAACTTTGTTCAGTTGGCGGTAAAGCAAAACCAGCGCTTCGATGGCCGGCGCTCCAATGAGTGCCGCGATGTGGAGCTGACCTTCGGCTCGGATTGGGGCACCGTGGCGGTGTCCATGGGCGATACGAAGGTGCTGACCCGCGTTACCTGCGACATGGGCACACCGGCCACGTCTCGGCCCAACGAGGGCAAGTTCCAGCTGAACGTGAACCTTGCCGGCGTGGCTTTTCTGGACGAGCTGCAGACCACACATGACCAGCGATCGCTCACCCTGAACTCCCTGCTCGAGAGGACCTTCCGCAGCTCCAGAAGCGTCGACCTGGAGTCCCTGTGCGTGGCCGCCGAGCACCATGTGTGGTGCATCCGTGTTGACGTCAATGTGCTCAATCACGACGGGAATCTGTATGGTAAAGGCACCAATCTCAAAATGAAAGGGTGATTACCTCTTAAATGATCAAACGCTATCACCTGAGTTAATAACTTTGATCGTTTTTGAAGATAATCTCTAGTATTCAATTGCTTAAAATCGCTCTTTAATCTTATAGACGCCAGCACCATAGCCACCTTAGCTGCATTGATGCACTTCCGTCGACCTGATGTCACGTTTGCTGACGATAAACTGCGCATCTATACGGAAAAGGAGCGGGATTTCATTCCACTGCTATTCCTTCACTATCCTGTCAGTGTAACCTACTGTATTTACAAGAGCAGTTGGCAGCCAATAGTGGATCCTACGCTGCTTGAGGAAAACGCTGCCGATTCAGTGATTGTCCTGAGCTTTAACTCGTACCAAGAGCTTTGCAGCCTGAATGCCGGAGGCACTGCACCAACAAATGTCCGCACCATCATGCAGTGTGCCCGCAATGCAGCGACTCGTTGCAAGTCCCTGGTGGATTTCATTCGCAAAGCCTTGTCGCTGGACGAAGAGCGTCGGTTGCAGGGCGATCGATTGGTCGATGGACTGGTAGCTCTCATTGGAAATACCCAGCATAAGCTAAGTTTCAACAAACTGATGGGCTACAAAAAGCAGGAACAGCAGCCAACACCAAGCGACAAAATGGAATTGGAGAACGAGAGCAGTGAGGAGCCGGAAGTCGAGGAGATTGAGGCCAAGGAAGAACCCTCCAAAGAGGAAACAGGTGAAGCCCCCATGGACTCCAGCGGGTGGCTACCGCAGGATGAGGACTCCCAGGAACTGCCCATACCCTCGGAAGCATCGACATCGAATGCAGGCAAGGGCAAACCAAATCGCAGCAAAAACAAGGCGAATAAAAAGCCACTGCCGAAGAAACAAAGTAAGTTGGCAATCAAAACGATTGACGAAAGTCGAATCCCATTATAAATAACGCACTATTTCTCCTTTAGATCACAGCGACTCCGAGGAGGAAGCCAGGCAATTCATCTAGTCGATGTGATAGTCATGTAGAGAAAATGATTTCTATTAAGTTTTATTTAGGCTTAAATGTATGGCTAAAATCAGTCTAGGCTTTAACAGAAATCGTTTAATGCGGAATTCAAATTGATTTGTGGAACCGGTGTTCTTCTAAGTTAGGCTTAAACTAGAGTTCTAAATATATGTATTTCCAACCCGCCGGGCCAAACGACACGATGTCTAAGTTTAAATATTGAATCGAATATTGATCGTTCACTCTCTTACAGCGATCATATTGTATTGGCTTCCGATTCATTTAGTTTTCATTGAAGTCTGATTGCGCTTCGATTCGTTTAAAGTTTATAGATGTTTTGTTGTCTTGCGGCTTATTGGTGTCTTAGCCATCCCCACTTAACTTGATGTATAATACAAACGATTAAATGAACAACATTTGCGCCACCATGTCCTTAAGCCTAAGAATGTTATTTTTTGATTCAGTGTGGTGTTTTCTGTTAATTCTCTTGTAAATTTACATAGTTTATTTAATGTAGAGCGTGTATAAAGAGCTAACAACGGACCAAGGCTACAATTATATTTGTAAATTTCTTTTTTAAAATTAGGTGTACGTTCGCGTTATACTATTTTTTTTTTTTTGGAGCACCATTTGCCTTTTTCCTTACGTTCTTTCATTGCAGTTTTCCTTTTCGAATATTACTTGTATTCCGGGGAGTCAAGGAAAGGGCTTGGGCAGTGGTGGTTTATGGGTATAGGAGTAGGTTACTTGGGGGTCACACAGATGAGAAGGGCATTTTACTATCAGTATTTTCGTTTATCCTTGTTCGGGTCAACAATGCCGACGTCCAGCAAATGCAGCAACAATGTGAGAAGTGTGTTTTAATTGGCAGTTGGCCAGCGTTAAAAGGAGTAGACGTCGTCGGCGTCCTCCTCCTCCCTCCGCCCGCCGACGCGCCTTCAGGTGGTGTCGTTGCCAAGGCCGTTTTTCTGGTCCAGCTTATTTGAGCCCATCTTCACCATGTACACAAAGAACGTGATGATCTCCTTCTCCTTGATGGGTATTGTCTTGAAGTGTTTCATAATTGTCTGCAGGAGAGAAGTATAAGTATGCATATTGATTAAAACATGGTCTGGAAAACCTCACAAGCTAACTGAAGGGTAATAAGACTAAACAATAGTTAATGTGGATGCAATGGAAAGGTTGTTTCCTGCATTTCCCGATCGTAAGCTCTTTAAATCTATATGAATGATGAACACTTTGCATGCATATGGGCATAGCATCATTTTCGCTGCCTTTTCTGCCTGTTCTTGGAATGAAGGCAACTAAAAGAGGTTACCAAAAAGACCAGTTTGAATGTATTCAAATTTCAGATGAAGCTTTACACAGCTCACTAAACCAATGCTTTTTCATGATTTGTTCCAATTAAATGTACGAAATGTAAGGGCAAGGGTAATCGTGGGTATAGCCTGCTTATTCTGTAAACTAGGTCAAACTTACATCTGCCAGCTGCGCCCGCTTCATTCCCTGCCTCGTTTGCACCTTGAAGTGACGCTTGTAGCGGCGCAACGTGCTCACGCCCAGCTGGTAGAGATCGGGGAACTCGTGCAGGTCCGTGTCCGTTTCGTTGCTATCGTCCTCGCTGTCCTTGCGACGCCGCTTGGTGCGCACAGACTGGATGCGCTCCTTGTGGTGGTCGCAGATGTAGATGTGCTGCGCGGCGGGATCGCTGCTGAGCTTGAGCCGCTTCTGGGCCACCGTCTTCTGGATGCGCTTGGAGTAGCTGGCGTAGCCGGCCTGGTTGCGACACCGCTCCATGTCGTCGATTAAGCAGCAGGTTTGGTCCGTGTGCCCGCGACTGTCCTCCTCGCCGGTGCTGAATCCGTTGTTCATCCTGTTCCCGATCCTTGCCGATCACTGGTGAGTTGCTATCCAATCCAATCCTCTCTTGCTTTACTTGCTACTCCTCTGTTTTTCTCCGTTACGCTCCTTTGTCTCCCCCTTTTGCCTTTTGCCTTGCTTTGTTTCCCTTTTCAAGAAAAAATTTTCTTTTGACAGTGTGGTGTGACCAGGCTGGGAAACGGAGAAATTCGTTGGCAGCTGTGAAGCGCGGAAAATTTGAAACTGGTTTATTTTGATTAATTTAATAAAATTTACATTGTGCTTTGCCATTGGCAAACAGTGGTTGGCTATAATGTTTACATATCAAGTGCAGAAACTATACTAGAACTTTTTGGAATATTGTTATAAAGTTGCATAATCGCACAAAGTGCTTCGGAAATTAAACCTCTTAGTCTATATAATGGATAATGGATTTATTTCATGTTAAAAACAGCTATTTAAATGTACATACATGTAAATTAGTACTAAAATTGAAAATTATGTACTAAAAGTACTAGGTACCTTTTCCAACACTGTTTCTTTTGGCGATAGGTACGAGCCGGCACGATAGTTACGCCAGCAATCGTAGTTGTCATCACTAGCTCCCATTTGTGCGTTGAAACGAGATTTCAATTTTCGGAAAATACCGTCGAAAATGCCGCCTGGAACGGAAATTGCAAGCGGCAGCGACACGGAGACCGCTCTGGAGGAGTTCAAGCAGCGCGAGGGACGCCGGAACAGCACCGGCTCGGCCAAGTACACGTGCAGCATGCCCAACTGCGAGGCCACATTCAAGCGGCTGGATCTATTGGACCGCCATGAATATCACCACACTGGGATTGTAAGTATAGCTAATAAGGATAGGCATTGGATGGCCTGTAGTAACCCCGCCACCTTGCAGAGGAAGCACGCCTGCTCCTACGAGGGCTGCGACAAGACCTACTCCATTGTAACGCACTTGAAGAGGCATCTGCGGAGCACCCACGAGCGACCGGAGGCGGCGACCAAGAAGACGGTGAAATGCGCGCTGGAGGAATGCAGCAAGATGTTCATCTCGGTCAGCAATATGACGCGCCACATGCGCGAGACCCACGAGAACCCGAGGGTCTATCCCTGCAGCCACTGCAGTGCCAAATTCTCGCAGAAGCTCAAGCTGAAGCGCCACGAGATCAGGGAGCACTCGCTGGAGTATCCCTACAGCTGCTCGAAATGCTCGCGCGGATTCTACCAGGAGTGGCAGCGCCAGAGTCACGAGCCCAGCTGCAAGTTGTACGAGTGTCCCGGTTGCCCGCTGAAGTTCGACAAGTGGACACTATATACGAAGCATTGCCGCGACACATCGCACGGAAAGAATCGCCACAAGTGCGACAGATGCGAGAGCGCCTTCGACAAGCCCAGCGAACTGAAGCGTCACCTTGTGGTGAAGCATAAGGAGGCGGCGGACAAGGATGAGGGCGCCTCCTCGTTCGCCTGCAGCGAGGAGGGCTGCGGCAAGAGCTACTCGTACCTCAGAAATCTCCGGCAGCACATGCTCACCGCCCACTCGGGCAGACGTTTCGAATGCCAGGCCTTGGACTGCGGCCGCTGCTTCAGCAGCGCACAGAATCTTGCCAAGCATCTGCTCAGGGGTCACAAAGATGGCAAGAAGAAAAAGGACTTGAAACCGAAGAAGGGCAAAAGTAAGGATGTCGAAGGGGGCAAACTTAAATCCCCTTCCCGCAAGCGACGACGCGATGCCGGACGCAGCAAACACTCGAGGCTATCCAAACTGGCCTGCCTGCAACTGGACAAGGAAGAGGACGAGGCGGTGCGTGAACGACAGCCTTTGGCCCTCGAAAAGATCACCCAGTCGCTGAAGGACTACCCCATCGAGGAGCTGCTGGCACAGACCCTGCAAGATGAAGAGGACGTGGTGCAAGCGTAGGGCAAAATGGCATTCAATAAGGATGGGAGTGAGGTCTGGTCTAAACCCACAAAATAATGATGTAAATAACGAGGCTAAAACTGCAGTGTGAGTGACTTCGAGCTACTTGTATTTAGTGTATTTAGGCAACAATTAATTTGGGCCTCTCGAAAACAAGAAATATCGCACGAATCTTTCAAAGAAACGACAATTGCATTAAAATACGCTCTGAATGTGCAGTAATTAAATTATGAGCATCCTTTTACCTTTTAGCAAGCTATTATCATTAGTCGCCGCCTGGAGCGAATTAGGTTTAAATCACAAATTATTAATATACGTTAAGCTTGTAGATATCACATTCCCTGACTTAAGCTAGAGTGTCGAAACTCCTCAGCAGCCGGAGGGAAACCAATATTTTCTTGTGCATATGTACAGTAAGCACCAGCAACGCGAATTTAGTATAATATATATGTACATACATGCTTCAAAACAAGGTCAACTTTTCTGTTAAAGTCCTGTACGTCGAAATAAAGCAAAGAACTCACATACTTTGTTTCTTTTTTTTTTTTATTAAACAATCTTCTAAAACAAAAAAATGCTTAATGCGTGGAGGACTGGTGGAGTACGGATCGGTAGCATGCGAGTGCCATTTCAGGGGGCTACAGTGAGTTGATGATCTTCCGGCTGCGCATCTGCTCCATCCAGCTCTCGTACTGCTGCTCCGGCGTCTGTGGCTCCTGGTAGTAGTGCTGCGGCGGCTCACCTTCCTCCAGTCGCACGAAGTAGTGGCAGTGCTTGTACTCCACCTTGCCGAAGCGACCGCGAGCATGCCTCCTCACGCCCTTGAAGACGCGTCCCTTGCCCACGAAGGATTCGGCTGGAAGGTAAAAAGTACACTGATTCATTTGGATTCTCCATAGGGGGTAGCAGAGATGACGGAACTGGTGTGGATCATTATTCAGAGCCACCTACGACAAGTGAATGGATATTCCCATTTTGGATTGCCAGTTTCCAATAGTTCCTTGTTCCCCTGCTCACCTATCCACAGATTGCTCTTGTACTCCACGTTGTGCCGCTCCACGGCCATTTGCTGGGCCTCCAGTATGGTCTCCTTCACATCGGTGGCACCTTTTTTGAGCACAAAGTTCAGCTGCTTCAGCGCCTCATCGACGGACATGCCGCGAACGAAGGCAGCGATGTACCACATCTTGTCTGGACTGTATTTGATGTTGTTGCGCATGTGGCACACGTACTGGAAGTGGATTTTAGTGGATTAGGTGGATCATAGCTGGGTTTTACGTCCCAATAACTTACAGCCTTTCTGGGCTCCTCGTCCGTTTGCTGCGGCGGATGCACGGTTTTGTTGTACTCCAGCCACTTTTGGGGTCCGTAGTTGTACTTGTTCCACTTGGCGCACAGCATTCCGGCGGAAGCGGCCGTGTGCAGGGATTTCGACTGGAGGGCAGGTGGTGAAACTGGTGATATGGCGGTTGATCTGTTGGTTTCCCCCGATCGGAGGAGCGCTGCTCCCTGTGCCGCCTGCAGGCGCAGCTGGGACATCTGCCGGATCACCTTGTGCATGTTAGCTTGCTTGTTTTATCACAGCAAAACCAGGCAATTCAATTTGAAAGGGAAAACGCAGACTTTCCGTAAAAAAAATAATCGCGTAATCTGCCAGTGTGACCAAGGGCAGCAAGTGCGTGGTGTACCTAAAACGTACCGCACAAGCGGCTGATCTCCAGCATCTGGCAGCGCTATCAGAACTGTTTGAAAAAAATATTTGATTTGGTAAACTTAAATAAAAACCGTATTACTTTTATTTGCAAGCTTTTATTTTCAAAGGAAGTAAAAACATGCATTAATTAGATAAAGAAAATATCATTTATGCGTTAATAAACTATTCCAGTTGAATATTATGCACTGAGCACGATAACTCAACGGAGCGTCGCGCTTGCGTTTAAATGACCCAACAGTCTGGCATCTCTGTGATTATTTGAAATTGTATCTGAGGGATTGCTAGGCATTTGAGTGCTGCATTCGCTGGCGTGAAGCGAAAGTTGCATGGTGTGAAGTGCGGAGCGTTCGCGTTCGAAACGGAAATTCGACGGGCGCCAGATTCGATTTAAATTCGAAACACAAATTCGTGTATGCAAATCGATGGTAATTGGACTGCGAAACGTTACTACTTACGTGATATCTGATATATCCGAAATGTTTAGCGGAGTTCCGAGGGCTCATTGTTTGTTTTCATTAATTTGCATTGCCAGTTTGCTCTGCCTCGAATAGCCGGCGAATATGCTCGTATTCGAATTGCAATACATTCCGAGATCTCGTGATTGCGAATCTAAGCCATCTGGATAAATGGGGGAACCTATTTTCGCTGCAGCGTTCTAATTTTCGAGGCAGAGTTCATTTGCACCAGCGCACATGCGAAATGTATTAAATTGTGTAATTAAAATGTATAGGTTTCAAAGGGAATATAGTTAAAAACGTTGACAAAGTGTAATTACCTTTTCGAATGTGGAAATATGTTTTTCAAATTGTCGGAATGGATATTTTAACTTAAACAACTGGCTACAACCCATATAAGCAGCAATGCAACACACGCATATATAAATAAAAAATCATAAATTTATATCCAAAGTCTATCCTATGTTCAAAATAAACGTTCTTCCATATGTATGGGCCACCAAAACGACACATCAAATAGTCGAAGCTTTTGCTAACGGAAATTACAGACTTCCCACACGAAACTTACCTTTGAAATTTGTTAGAGTGGGATGCTCGCACATGGATAATGAAAAAATAAAAGTTTTGCTATTTGAGAGCTTTGCGTTTTCTCGTTTCTTGGCGGTGCTAAGATCTATCTAACAGATACTTTGCGCCTTTAGTCGTGGTCTAAATCTTGCTGCGTTCGCTGTCGAGGTAGAGCAAATAGCAAATGGCAAATAAAACTACTACAATAGCAATCAGTAAAAATAAAAATGAACTTGCCTAAAGAGATAATAAAAACGCAACACGCGACGCGCTAACAATTTGTTTGACACATTTTTTTCCAGTGATGAAGCACCAGTGAAAAGTGCACTTACCAAATAAATATTTAAAATATATATTAAGCAACATTCAACAAAAAGCACAATAAGTCTAAATCAATAAATTCAAATTGAAGGCGCAGCTGTGTTTGCACCTCCGTCGTTTTGTGCAGTGTATAATTCCCTCTGTCTATGCACGTCTATATATACATGTGCATATATACCTATAACTCGTCGGACTCTGCTGGGCGTAGCACACAGCTTCCAACTTTTTAAATTTATTTTTAGGCACATGATCGGGTGTGTTTTTTTTTCCACTAATTTGATGTGTTTTTTTCGTATTCATATCTAAACCATCTGTGCAAGATGGTATGGCAATTCCAGCAATGACTGATACTAATCATATTAAATTGGTGCACAAAAACATAGAAGTGTTAAAAACAATGCTGAAGGTTATTTAGTTTTCAAATGAACTTGTTAAAAGTTCAAGAAGGGAAGAAGAAATATTTTTAGAAACTTTCGTCAGACTTTGTGCATTTAAATGCAAATAGCACGCTTAGGAAGTTATTTATGCAAATTTTTGAACTTTCAGTTAACAATTGTGTTTGCCTGGCAACGAATTTCAATTTTTAGCCTGCAATTTCTGGGCCACGAAATTAACTGTTTTATTTATATTGGCACATTCACCAGTCATGGCATTCAATGCCAGTCAGTTGAATGCTAAATTACCTACACCATATGGCGAAATGTTTGGTTTTTTTCGTTAAATTATAATTAATTCTCTTGTCTATGAATGGCAGCCGCCCATCAATGAACTCAAACCGCCCACACTCGGCGGAAAAACTGGCATTAAAATGTATATGTGGCGGAAAATGTGTCAAATGTCACCTGCACACCGCCTACAACTTGTTGTTTTATTTTTTGTCCGCCTAACTACACAGAAAGAAAATATTCATCTCAAACCTGTTGTACTGGCAACTAAAATAATACTTTGACTCGCTCTAGTCCAATTGCATTTTCAACTTTTCCCTGAGAGTTATCTTCAATTTTAAAATACATTTGTGTGGGAAGGGCTGGCTGGCTTCGACCTGGCTAAAAGCCTAATGGCTTTTTGGCCGCTATTTTGTAATTTTGGGCAACCTGTTTGGCGGCCATTACGTCACCATCGTCGCGATGCTGAGCGTAGAACACGCCAAAATCTAAGCATGCAGCGAAAATAAAGAGAAACCCAAGATCAAACAAAAAACCGTCAAAAATGTCTAAAAAAACAAATCAGATTTTAGAATTAGCCAAAAATAAATTAGCGACCCACTGATACCGTAGCATTTTGCTGCAGTGAAAACATGAAGATGAAGATTTAAACTAAATGCATTTAATGGATTTTTGGCGTTGACAATAAAAGCTTAACTAGCATAAATACAAAACATTAAAATATAATGCAGAAATAAAAATAACACAAATCTGAAGTCAAGTTGGCATAATAAATATAAGTTGAAACTAACGGGTGACATGAGTCTATTGAGTCTTTGGCATTGACAATAGACGAATAATGTGAAACGAAACTGAACCGTGTAATAAATACCGATTCGAAATACTCGTAATTGCCCCGACATCCGACTTCAGGCATTAGATATCCGACCAGCCCTAACCACCCCGCCCACCCAGCGATTTTCAGCTTGAATATGATGTTAAGAGAGAGAGGGAGAGAGAGAGAGCGAGAGGGAGACACAGACGTAGATATAGAGATACTAAAAAACAGAGATACTCAGCATTTGCCGAGTTGAAGAATCTAGTTTTTTGTTTTTGCTTTTTGGCCTTTGTGTCTTATGCTCTTTTTTTTGGTTTTCGGTCTTCGGTTTTGGTCATGTTGGCCAAGGTTGAGCTTATATAATAAATAAAGTCGCGTGTGTGTGTGTTCGACCATATGTTTAAATAATTCTCGATTCCGATCGCCAGCTGTGAAGATGCAAGCGTGAAGTGCAAAGTTCTTGGATGCAAGCCCAACGAAATCGATAAAAATTCGAGAGAAAGTCAAAACACAGAATAAGATACAGTACCCAGCGAACAAGAAGTAAGAAAGTCCCCAAAATGAGTGGAGATTCCTTCCACCGCAGAAGAACGACGGTTCACTCCCCGTTCACATCCATCCTGATCCTGCTCCTGATCGCGATATCCACCCATGGCTACAACATCGACCTGCCCAGCTACGTCCGTTTCCGGCAGTACAGCAACTCCATGTTCGGATTCAGCATTGCGATGCACAAGGGCCGCAGTGGATTCTACGGCAATCAGAACAAGTAAGTTTTCCAATATACATATAATAATATTTTAGGAGTTTAATTCTACGGCAATAAGAAGAAATGAAGTATACAAATTCAATGATCGTTTTGATTCATTTGAATGGAAATATTTAAAAACACAATGTAATGACTTTCAGTTTGCTTGCATCTCCCAGCCATATTATATTGATTACAACTTCCGAATAGGGTCATTTATTTCGCTTTATCTTCCAGCGA